AGAGAGAGAGACTCACACAGACAGACAGGCAGACAGACAGACAGACAGACAGACACACAGGTACAGACTTTCTAATAGTGGCTTAAATTGAGGCATGCGTTGCACAGGCTCTAGCAGATGGTCGAGGGGGGGAGGGAGATAGAGAGACGTGGGAGAGAGAGTGAGAGATAGAGAGAAAGAGAGAGTGTGTGTGTGTGAGAGAGAGAGAGAGAGAGAGAGAGAGAGAGTGGGGGGGAGAGAGAGACAGAGAGAGAGACAGAGGGGAAAGAGAGAGAGACCGAGGCAGAGACCGAGACAAAGACAGAGAGAGAGACTCACACAGAAAGATAGACAGACACACAGACAGACAGACAGACAGACACACAGACACAAACTTTCTAAGAATAGCTTATATCGAGGTACGCGCTGTACAGGCTCAAGCAGATGGTTTAACAACGTCAGCTTCTTGCACCTTTCAAGTTTCTGAAATTAGAAAGTTCCAAATTAAGCTTTTCTAGGCTAATAATAGATAATAGATAGCATTTCTATAGCGCAAATCCCTACTCAACAGCAAGCTCTGTGCGCTTCACAATTTATTGATAATAATAGATAGCATTTGGGAGGCGTGCTAACACAATGAGTTACTTCTCGCAATCAGTGAATGGAGATATCTGCCAAAACTCAACACAAGGGTCATATTTATAGACTCTAAACTTTTATCATTTCATACTGATAAATTGTAAAACTTCAACCTATAAATTTGATGTTTTTTCCATCGGTCTAATATCTGAGAAGTAACTCATTTTGTCAGATTACTTCACATTTGTATAGCACAAATCCCTACTCAACAGCAAGCTCTATATTATGCACTTCACAATCTATTCTATTACTATTACCCCAGTAGACCCAAGAGCTTTTTGAAACAACCTCAACTTCCTGGGAAGCAAACAGTGCAAGCAGCGATTTATAGGCGCTAAAACACTAACATGCAGACAAGATCTTTCGCTGTCTATGGCCAGGTACCCATTTTCACCTGGGTGAAGTGAGGAAAATTAATGAAAAGTGCCTATCCCAAAGACACAACGTCGGGCCTGCATGTGGCTCGAACCCCCGAACACGCAACCTCACGATTACGAGTTCAGTAGCTTAATCACTAGGAAAGAAAAAGCAGCAGTTCCCTGTTGTAGATCAGGCATAGTTATGAGCGTGACATGAGTCAGCCCATTTACAATTCTACTGTGCTTGAACGAGAAATGTCCCCACTTTGGGAATGGCCTAAAGACACTACAGTCAGAGGCACTACCCCGGGGGGGACCTCAAACTTTAAAAAACTTTCTCAGCCCAGTGAGATATCCATTGGATGTGACAGTCATGGTTTTTACCATCCTTGTCAGGGAACCAGAACGCGCCGATCATGCCCCTGTAGTAGAACGTTTTTAAAAAAGTAAAATTTTGCGTTTTACCCAATTTTGGTTGAAATTTTCAAAACTTGATATTTCTTGAACACTTATATCGATTTACTTCATATTTTAAGACTTCATGTCTTCATGGTTGAATTTTGTTCACTTGAAGTTTTGATGAAATTAGTGCAAAGATGATTGAGTTATTGCCCTTTAAGTGGGTCCTCTTTTTTTTAGACATCCTGCACTAAAATATTTTTTAAAATGATACGCATCTGATTTCACCGCCTTGTGACCCAAATCAGAAACTTACCTCAATTTCTTTGACAGCCCTGGCAAACTTTTGACACCTTCCCAAAAGATCTCTCAGCAGTTTGCTTGCCACGGGGAAATTACTGACATATTCCGAGTACATTTTGAGCAAAGGGGCATACTTCTTGGTGACATCCCCTATCTTAGGTTTCTCTGACCTTGGTGCAAAGACAGAAAATGATAGATGGATGAACGGATGGATGGATGTGTATATGGATGGATGGATGGACGGATGGATGGATGGATGGATGAATGTGTAGATGGATGGACGGACGGATGGATGGATGGATGGATGAATGTGTAGATGGATGGATGGATGGATGGATGGATGTGTAAATAGATGGATGGATGGAAGGATGGATGGATGGATGAATGGATGGATGAATGTGCAGATGGATGGATGGATGGATGGATGGACAAATAGATGGGGGAACTGGCAGATACTGGATAGATG